GATTAGTTGCAGTAATCGTTAGATGCAGATTGTATTTGGTGCGACTATTGAAGAAAATACAAGACAACAGCCAGTGTTTTGGTGAGTTAGCCATTTTCTTGATTGAGGTTGGCATAAAATGGGTAATTAGCTGTCCGCCATCTTGCTTTCTTGTTCCCACAATTCCCGGCGGTCGGCCATCTTTGTTTTTGAAGGAAGTGACGTCATTTTGAGCTCTAGATTCTCTGAGTAGATTTGGCTCTGTCTAATCTCATTTCTTTGATCGATATTCGTGAGTCATTCTGCTCGTAAGTATTGACGGCTCCCAGTCATTACCCCTCCTAGTTATTAATACTTTGACGAGGCGATCTGACTCTCACCCAGGGTTGTATGTTGAGGAAGGTTTACTCTCATCGGAGCCAGAGTTACATTACTGGAACTGAGGTGCTCCAAGGGCGAGAGGTAACAGCTCTGTCTAATCTCATCCTTTGATTGACATTCTAGAGTTGTTATTCTCTACAGAGGTTGTAGTGAGGTTGCTCCTGCGAAGCAGTGACTCCGAGAGCAGAGGTTACTCTTTGGAGACAGTGTAGCTCATTGAGTGAGAGCACTCTTTGAGTAGAGGTTACTTTTTGGAGACAGTGTAGCTCATTGAGTGAGAGCACTCTTTGAGTAGAGGTTACTCCTGAGACGAGGTGATTCCCGGAGCTGAGGTATTTCCAGTGTGTGGATCTCGTTCGAGAGCAGAGGTTTCTCCTGAGAAGTGACGACTCCAAGAGCAGAGGATACTCCCGGAGCCTGGACCCCTTCCAAGAGACTGTGTAGCTCAAGAGTGAATTGAGCAGAGGTTGTAGAGAGGTATATCCTGAGAAGTGGTGACTCCAAGAGCAGAGGTTACTCTCGGAGCCTAAACCCCTTCCAAGAGACAGTGTAGCTCAAAGAGTGAAAGCACTCTTTTGAGGAGAGTTTAAGGGTGGTTACTCCCGTGACAAGGCGACTCCCGAAGCAGAGGTTACTTCCGGAACCAGGGCTCCTTCCCAAAGACGAGATAGCTCAAGAGGGAGAGCTCTTTTCAAGCAGAGCAGAGCAGAGTAGACAAGCAGAGTATTGCAGAGAGCAGAGCATAGCAGAGAGCAGAGCCGAGTATACCAGAGAGCAGAGTAGACAAGCAGAGTATTGCAGAGAGCAGAGCATAGCAGAGAGCAGAGCCGAATATACCATAGAGCAGAGTAGACAAGCAGAGTATTGCAGAGAGCAGAGCATAGCAGAGAGCAGAGCAGACAAGCAGAGCAAAGAGCAGAGTATGGCAGAGTAGCATAGAGACAGACAACTCAGAGCCAGAGTTTTTGTTATATAGAGACATTATTTGTATTACTGGCCATTAGGCATTTGAGGACATTTTGAAATTGATTGTTTTTTACATTGTGTTTTCCATCTCCTAGCTCAGTGACAGCTGAAGCACCAAAACCAGCTCGGCGCCCGTGATAAACACCTCCGAATCCCTTATCATCGCCACCAGACCTTCTCCAAGGGAGTACGGGTACTCGGCGGGAGTCTGGCGCGCGACATTGGTGGCAGCGGTGGGATTTTTCACTGTTCCTAGAGATGGAGAGAAGCATGGAGATGTCAGAGGCAGGGAGAAGTCCAAGAACTTCTGACCACGGCGGCTCAATTGATGATCCAATGGGTATCCCAAAGGGGAGGACACTCAGGAGGACACCGGAGCCAGACGACACAGTGGTTTTTAAAGGTGGCCCCAGAAACCTGGAGCTGGAGACCCAAGATACTCTTCCTTTGGAGCCAAGGGACTCGGTTCTGGATCCAGAAAAGTATGGTGCCATGGGTGGCGCAGAGAGATGTTTGCAAGTTCCTGAACAGAGACCATGGCCGAGAGGGGCCCAAGACAGTACTGGGTATTGGTCAGAGTCAAGGATGCAGTCCAGGATGCAGAGTGAGTTTACTCCCTCCAAATTTCGTACTCCTGGAATACTAGGCAGACAGGACCAGCCCTTGCCTGTTACTTCCACAGAGATCAAAAGTGATCGGGGAGTATCCAGGAAGCCCACATCAAGTGAATATGCTCAAAAGAAGAGCAAGCTTGAACTCATCAAAGTGGAACAAGATGTGGAGTCTTTAAAGCAGGACGTTTTGGGTATCAAAGATGAATTGGTATCCCAGACCTTTCAGACAAGACAGCAGCTTCACCATCAAGAAGAAAATTTGAGACAGACTCAAGAAGGAATGAAGCTTGAGATTCGACAAGGCCAAGAAGATATGAAGTTTGACTTGACACGACAGATGGGCCAATTACATGAAACACTGGTGAAGTTGGCACCTTCAATAGCTTCTTCTCGATGCTCCACTCCACGAAGAAGGTCGAGTTAGAGTCACACAGACTTGAGGGAGAAAGAGTTTGAGGCAGATATACTGAGTGAAGGTGCTCCCCAGAAACAACTGCAAGAGACCACAAGGAAGTTGAGTTTGATTACTCGTGAAGATAATCCTCAACTATCTACAGGAAGATGGCAGGATCAGTTGCCTATGCCTGCAACCAGGAGAAGTCCACCTCGCCTACAAGAACCAATACAGTCCTGGAGAGAGGAAAGGTCTCCTTCCCCTAGACCAGAGATGCCAGCAAGGGAAATATTGCAGCGTATCCAAGGGACACATGCTGAGGACCCAAGGAGTAAAATTTTCTTTCCAGAGATTAGAACTCCACAGAGGTCGAAGGTGCCAGAGACTGCAAAGTGGGTAGAACATCTTCAGCAGTCCTCCTATTGTCCCATGCCTGTTGATGATCAAGAGATGGAAGCGAGAGGCTCTAAGAGTTGTCCTGTTCCTGGACTCCCTGAGGCTCCTGTGGGGAAGTTCCCCGTGTCCAAACCTTGGAGTTTAAGGAGACAGGATCGAATATTTATACCTGCAGAGAGACCTGAAACTCAACCAATGGGAGTGTCCCCAGAGAGAAGACCAGCTCCTACTATCCCTGACCAGGATACCACTGAAGGAGTGCATGGTAAACTAGTTGAGAAGTCAAGAGATTCTGCAGCTGAAGAGACCAATAGAGCCCTGCTTCTTGCTGAGCAGGCCATGCAAATGTGCAAATCAAACAATGAGCAGTTGGTGAAAGCACTGAGCTCATCTAATACTGAGAAGAAGACTAAGATAAAGCCAACCCAGTTATTTGATGGGAAGACACCATGGCTGGATTACAAGGTGTACTTCCAGAACTGCATTGACTGTAATGGCTGGAGTGACGAGGAGAAGTGGCAACAGTTGACGAACCAGTTGAGAGGAGATGCCCAGCAGGTAGTGCAAGAGCTGGAGCAAGGCCACTCCTACGATGAGCTGATTGAGGCACTAACTAAAAGATTCGGACCAGGGGAAAAAGCTTCAATGTATGAAGCTGAACTAAACACCAGGACGAGGAAGCCAAAGGAGTCATTACAGAGTCTTGGCCAGAGCATAAGGAGATTAGCTGCTCTTGCATATCCAGAGATGCCTCGCTCTTCTCAGGATAGGTTGGCGAGGAAATGTTATGAGAATGCCATAACAGATGATGAAGTGCGAGCAGCTGTCCATAGTAGAGACCCCAAGTCTCTTGACCAGGCCATAGACGAGTCAGAGCGTATCCGTAAAGGCCTGAAGCCAAGACAGCGAGACCATCATATTACAGCTGTTACCAATGACTCCCAAGAAGAAAAACTCCTTAAGATGATGAAAGAGTTCCAAGAAGGAATCCAGAAAGGAGTGCAGGAGGCGATTCAGAAGGGAATGACTAAAGAGTTAAGGGAGTTAAAGGATGGAATCAAGGAGATTGCAGGAACTGTAAAGACCTCCAAAGAGAAGAGAGAACCCTTCATCTGTAGGAAATGTGGAGAAGAAGGGCATACAGTGAAGAGATGCCCCTTGATCATTTGTTTTAACTGCTCTGAGGCAGGACACATGGCAGTTGAGTGCCGGAGACCCAAGAAAAAAAGAGAGTGGGATAATGACCATTATCGGGCCAATAGTAGCTCAACTGTCAACCCGGTTCATTTCCTCGATCGAAGTGGTCAAGAAGTCACAAACCCTGAGAGAGCAGATAATGTTGGAAAGGTAGTGGCCATGGTGAAAATATGTGGAGTAACTATGGAATTCTTGATAGATACCGGAGCTGTGGTTTCTCTCATGAGTTTGCATAGCTTCAATCGGATTTACTACAGAGACAGACCAAAGTTGAAATCAGCAAAAGATGTATTGCTTCAAGCAGATGGTTCTCCACTAGCATCATATGGATCATGTAAATTGGAAGTAGATTTGGATGGGAGAATCACTCCCCTCGACATCACAATTGCAGAGATTGGCCAAGATAGGATATTGGGGAGGGATTATCTTTTGGCTAGTAAAGCCAACATCAAATATGGTTCCCTGCAGATGAACTTCCAAGATCCGGAGGACTCATCAGAGGCAAACACTCAAGGAGAAGTCCAGAGTTGCAGTAGCTCTCTGTTGGGAGAGACATCCCCATTCAGTATTAGGAGGCTAGAAAGTTCACCGACTCCTTCCCAGGAAACAAGTGAGAAACAAAGGGAACAAGAGGAAAAGGTGCTCCTGACTGATTCTGATGAAGACGAGATAACATGTGTCCCTGAGACTGATGTAGAAGATGATGACCAGCCAAGCGAGTGTTTGCCTGGACTTGGAAAACTCCTTGATTCCAGAAGAGCTGCAGGAATCTCTCACATGGCACCTGAGACAGTTATCCAGGAGCCTGCAGTCTCGACTCCAGATACCGAGAGGGAGGATAGCTGTAACCCAACTGTGCTTGTTTGTGGGAGAGAGGATTATTTTGTCTGCACTGTAGCAGAAGGGGTTAAGTGCCCCCATTCTCCAAACAAATGGTGACATTGAGAGTAGAAGGAGCAGAAGACTCTAACCTGGATGGAGTGCTGGAACAAGCTTCTAAATGGACTACACGAGATTTGGAATTGGTGAGTGGATTGATTCATACAGAGAATGGCCTGAGTTCTGCCGAAGTATGGAATGACTCACCACTCCCCTTATGTGTTGAAGAAGGAAGACTGATAGGTCATTTTACATCTTCCATAGCTGGAGTGTATACTATGCCAGGGCAGACCAGAGGAGTAAACCAGGTTACATGGAGAGATGAGTCTCTAGACCACCCTTTACCCCGTAGAGTAATCGAAGATGAACCATGTATACTGGATGTGAAATCTGAAGATGAAATGCGAGGAGCAGCTCTTGAGAGTCGAGCATCAGATGCTCATCAGGAGATAAAGCTCCCAGACTATTTGCAAGATTTGATGAAGAGAAGCACTGGAGGATTGCAGGAACATCAGAAGGAAGCAGTGAAGAGACTTCTTTACTCTTACCAAGATGTGTTTGCTGCTTCTGACGGAGACTTGGGAAGAACAACCTGGGCACGTCACAGTATACCAACTGGAGATGCTCAGCCAATAAAGCAGTCCTATAGGAGATTAGCCCCAGGACGCCAGGAGGAAGTTGACTCCAAAGTACAAGACCTTCTTAAGAGAGGCGTGATTGAAGATAGCCAGAGTCCATGGTCTTCTCCCATTGTTCTTGTTAAGAAGAAAGATGGGACATGGCGCCTATGTGTCGACTATCGGAAATTGAACAGTGTAACAAAGAAGGATGCCTTTCCGATACCAAACATAGCAGAGACACTTGATTTGATGGGAGCCTGTGATTATTTCTCCAGTCTGGATCTCTGTTCTGGTTATTGGCAACTGGAGGTGGACCCAGCTGATAGGGAGAAGACTGCATTTTCCGTGCGGGGAGGGCAGTATCAATGGGTTGTGATGCCATTTGGGTTGACAGGAGCTCCCTCTACATTTTCAAGACTGATGGAGAAGGTGCTACATGGACTCATTCTCCGGACCTCCTTAGTCTACTTAGATGACGTCATTACATATGCAGACAAGTTTGAAGTTGCTGTGGAGCGCCTGCAGGAGATATTTGGGAGATTCAGAGAAGCTGGACTCAGGTTGAAGCCCTCTAAGTGCTCCTTGTTCTGGAGAAAAGTGGAGTTTCTCGGACATATTGTCTCAAGAGATGGAGTTACTCCCAATTCTGCCAAGGTAGAGCAAATCCTGCAGTACCCCATTCCTAATACATTGAAGCAGGTACGTCAGTTCCTAGGAGGGGTATCCTACTATCGCCGTCACATCAAAGATTTTGCCCACATAGCTGGACCACTTCATGACTTGACAAAGAAGAATGCAGTCTTCATTTGGACTCATGATTGCCAGAAGGCGATGGATGAACTCAAGCAGCGTTTGGTAACTGCACCTATCATGGGTTATCCACAGAACGGCTGTACATACATCTTAGACACCGATGCGAGCCTTGAAGCTATAGGAGCTGTCCTGTCTCAAGAGCAAGATTGGGAGGAAAAAGTGCTCTATTATGCAAGTAAGAGGTTAAACAGACAGGAGAGGAATTACTGTGTAACGCGGAGAGAGCTGTTAGCGGTAGTGAATTACACCAAGTATTTTAAACAATACCTCTATGGTGTGCGTTTCCGCTTGAGGACTGATCACAGTTCACTTAGATGGCTTGTGAACTTCAAGGAGCCTGAGGGTCAGCTGGTTCGGTGGATCCAGAGTCTTCAAGAGTTCCAGTATGAGGTGGAATACCGCCCTGGTGAGAAGCATCAGAACGCAGACTTGATGTCCAGAGTTCCCTGTAAGCAGTGCAGTCACTGTAATGGACAGTGTGTTACCACAGAGGCAGATGATACTCTGGATGATGTTGTTCTAGCAGTTTCCTTGAAACCTGAATGGAGCTTGGAGCAAATAGCTGAGGCACAGAGAGAAGATGTAAATCTAGCTCCTTTACTGAAAGTGTTTGAGTCTGGGAAAGCTCAGATTCCTTGGGAGCAGATCAGTTCCAAATCGACTGTGACAAAGAGTCTCTGGAATCGATGGGACCGCTTGAGGATTGAGAAAGGAGTGTTATGTCGTCTTTGGGAGAGCGAAGATGGAAGTAAGCAGCAGTATCAGGTAGTGACACCTGCTATTCTCAAACCAAGGATCTTGGAGCTGAGTCACTCGGCCAAGACAGCAGGACATTATGGTGTCAAGAGGACATTGGCTAGATGCAGAGAGAGATTTTACTGGGTAGAGTTGTCTTCTGATGTCCGATCTCATTGCAGAGCATGCCAGATTTGCAGTTCTAGGAGGAATCCTCGTCCTACTAGAAAAGCTCCTTTGCAGCAAGTGAGAGTCGGGGCTCCCATGGAGAGATGGGGTATTGACGTCCTAGGGCCCTTCCCTATGACACCAAGAGGCAATACAGTGTTGCTGGTTTGTGTTGACCACTTTACCAAGTGGCCAGAGGTGTTTCCATTGCCGGATCAGAAGGCTCCCACAGTTGCTTCCAAACTAGTAGATGAAGTTTGCTGTAGATGGGGCATACCTAAGCAGCTGCATTCAGATCAAGGCAGGAATTTTGAGTCTGCTGTATTTGGAGAAGTCTGCAAGCTGATGGGTGTTGAAAAGACCCGTACAACTCCTTTTCACCCCGAGTCGAATGGACTCGTGGAGAGATATAATGGCACCCTGGTGGACAACATTGTGAAGCTTCTCGCACCAGCTTATGAGCAAGATGATTGGGATTTACAAGTTCCAATAGCCCTTATGGCTTACAGAACCTCTGTGCATGAGGCAACAGGAGAAACTCCAAGCATGATGATGGTTGGAAGAGAGATGTGTGCTCCTATGGAGCAGATGATTGAGACCCCTGTACTCCCTCCCTTAGAGACTGACTATGCTTTATCCTTGAGACAGAGGATGGAGGTTGTACATGAGCGGGCAAGAACACAACTGGACTTAGCTTCAGAAAGGCAGAAGAGCAGGTATAACAGATCTGCCGATCAGAGAGAATACCAGCTCGGGGATCCTGTGTGGTTGCGGAATAAGCAGAGAAGAGTTGGCAAGTCCCCAAAATTACAACCACGATGGATAGGGCCATACCAGATAGTGGGTCGACTCTCTCCCGTGATTTACAGAATCAAGGAGAAGAAGACAGGGAAGCCAAAGGTGGTTCACCAGAATCTTCTGAAACCATTTGAGTGCAAGCTACCTGCTACCTGGTCCCGATGGATATCGGCTGATGAAGAACCAGAATGTGCTTCATTACCAGAGCAACCCTTGACTGATTTGAAAAGAATAGAAGATGAAACCCCGAGCCTGAGAAAGAGAAAGATGGACTCTGAGAGTTTGAGCTCTCCTTCTCCAAAGAAGGTAAAACCCAAAGTGAGAAGGAAGAAAGCCAACGAGGGGAAAGTTGTTGAGTCTAAATCAAGCTTCAGAGAAGAGTTACCCAGAAAGAGTGAGGATAGCTCTATGGACGACCACGAGAGGAGTGAACTCCAACAGTCATCCAGAGAGAAGAAACCTCCTCGTCCCACACGGAGAAGACATGTTCCTACATACTTGAAGGATTACAGTTGTGTTGTGTCTGCACCAGCAGACATTCGTGATTAATGCTGTGTGATCATAAAGAGACATTTTCGACTATGATCGTTGATTGTTTTAGAGATAATGTGTTATATTAGTGTATATAGTCGTGAGTTGTATTGTTCATGTTTTGGAGTCTCAAGTTTTGAGATTTATAGCTCTATTGTTAGTTAGAAACATGTATGTTATATCTTCCTTGTTGGATCGAGGGCGATCCATCCTGGGAGGAGGGAGTGTGACAAAATTGTGAGTTTAATTTTTGTTTTATTTTGAACTTTTATATGTGGAGTCAGTCGACTCTTTCAGAGAGTTTAATGGCTCAAATGTGTACATGCAGAATGTCACGTAGGCACTTGGATGTTTACTGATCAGCAGACTGTAGTGGAATAAATTAGAATAATTAAGTACCCAGCAACCGGTGATCAGCCAATCAGATTCTTTTACTTGAATTTCCCTCCAACTTAAGTTGTAGTTTTCCCATGATGCAACTTGAGGTGTCTGGATTTTATTGTTTGCAATTAACCACGTGAATCAGAGTCAACCAAGATCTTGAAGATACAAGACCTCGTCAGTTTGGATTTATTTATGTGCAAGCGTGTTTTATTTAATCTGTGGACTTATTAGAGCATTATTTTGGATATATTGGATTAGTTGCAGTAATCGTTAGATGCAGATTGTATTTGGTGCGACTATTGAAGAAAATACGAGACAACAGCCAGTGTTTTGGTGAGTTAGCCATTTTCTTGATTGAGGTTGGCATAAAATGGGTAATTAGCTGTCCGCCATCTTGCTTTCTTGTTCCCACAATTCCCGGCGGTCGGCCATCTTTGTTTTTGAAGGAAGTGACGTCATTTTGAGAAGTTTTGAGCTCTAGATTCTCTGAGTAGATTTGGCTCTGTCTCATCTCATTTCTTTGATCGATATTCGTGAGTCATTCTGCTCGTGAGTATTGACGGCTCCCAGTCATTACCCCTCCTAGTTATTAATGCTCATACTTTGACGAGGCGATCTGACTCTCACCCAGGGTTGTATGTTGAGGAAGGTTTACTCTCATCGGAGCCAGAGTTACATTACTGGAACTGAGGTGCTCCAAGGGCGAGAGGTAACAGCTCTGTCTAATCTCATCCTTTGATTGACATTCTAGAGTTGTTATTCTCTACAGAGGTTGTAGTGAGGTTGCTCCTGCGAAGCAGTGACTCCGAGAGCAGAGGTTACTCTTTGGAGACAGTGTAGCTCATTGAGTGAGAGCACTCTTTGAGTAGAGGTTACTTTTTGGAGACAGTGTAGCTCATTGAGTGAGAGCACTCTTTGTGTAGAGGTTATTCCTGAGACGAGGCGATTCCCGGGGCTGAGGTACTAGCAGTGTGTGGATCTCGTTCAAGAGCAGAGGTTACTCCTGAGACGAGGCGATTCCCGGAGCTGAGGTATTCCCAGTGTGTGGATCTCGTTCGAGAGCAGAGGTTTCTCCTGAGAAGTGACGACTCCAAGAGCAGAGGATACTCCCGGAGCCTGGACCCCTTCCAAGAGACTGTGTAGCTCAAGAGTGAATTGAGCAGAGGTTGTAGAGAGGAATATCCTGAGAAGTGGTGACTCCAAGAGCAGAGGTTACTCTCGGAGCCTAAACCCCTTCCAAGAGACAGTGTAGCTCAAAGAATGAAAGCACTCTTTTGAGGAGAGTTTAAGAGTGGTTACTCCCGTGACAAGGCGACTCCCGAAGCAGAGGTTACTTCCGGAGCCAGGGCTCCTTCCCAAAGACGAGATAGCTCAAAAGGGAGAGCTCTTTTTAAGCAGAGCAGAGCAGAGTAGACAAGCAGAGTATTGCAGAGAGCAGAGCATAGCAGAGAGCAGAGCCGAGTATACCAGAGAGCAGAGTAGACAAGCAGAGTATTGCAGAGAGCAGAGCATAGCAGAGAGCA